TGTGGGGCGGACGTACGTTCCGCTCGAGGTTTGTGATCGGCTTATTTATTGGGCTCATACGTCACCCTCCTCTGGACATCCAGGTATTGGCCGGACAGTGCACTGCCTTAGCGTGAAATACTGGTGGCCAACGTTAGCTAGGGATGTGAGGGTTTATGTCTCCTCCTGCTCGGTGTGCGCCCAGTGTAAGGCGTCTAGACACCTGCCCAGGGGGAAGTTACATCCCCTGCCCGTTCCACAACGACCATGGTCTCACCTCTCGGTGGACTTTGTGACCGACCTTCCCCCCTCCCAGGGGAATACCACCATTTTGGTCGTTGTGGATCGGTTTTCTAAGGCCTGTCGTCTCCTCCCAATGCCGGGTCTCCCTACTGCCCTACAGACCGCTGAGGCACTATTTACCCACGTCTTCCGGCACTACGGGGTTCCCGAGTTTATAGTGTCTGACCGAGGTCCCCAGTTCACCTCCAGAGTCTGGAGGGCGTTCATGGAACGCTTGGGGGTCTCAGTGAGCCTTACCTCGGGTCACCACCCAGAGAGCAATGGGCAGGTAGAACGAGTTAACCAGGATGTGGGTAGGTTTCTGAGGTCCTATTGCCAGGGCCGGCCGGAGGAGTGGTCAAGGTATATCCCCTGGGCAGAGATGTTACAGAACTCTCTCCGCCACTCCTCCACCAATCTAACCCCTTTCCAGTGTGTGTTAGGGTATCAGCCGGTTCTGACACCATGGCACCAGAGCCAGATCGAGGCTCCTGCGGTGGATGAGTGGGTTCGGCGCTCGGAGGAGACGTGGAACGCTGCACACGTCCATCTGCAGCGGGCCATCCGTCGACAGAAGGCGAGCGCCGATCTCCACCGCAGTGAGGGCCCGGTGTACGCACCGGGAGATCGAGTCTGGCTCTCGACTCGAAACCTGCCCCTCCGCCTGCCCTGCCGGAAGCTGGGTCGGCGGTTTGTGGGGCCTTTTAAAGTCCTGAGGAGATTGAACGAGGTGTGTTACAGGTTACAACTGCCTATTGATTATAAGAATATTAACCCCTCGTTCCATGTGTCTCTTCTCAGGCCGGTGGTAGCTGGTCCACTCCAGGAAGGTGAGATAGGAGAGACCCACCCGCCCCCACTGGACATCGAGGGAGCTCCGGCGTACACGGTCCATACCATCTTGGATTCGAGACGTCGGATGGGGGGTCTCCAGTATCTCGTGGAGTGGTAGGGGTACGGCCCGGAGGAACGGTGCTGGGTGCCTAGGAGGGATATCCTAGATCCATCCCTCCTGACTGAGTTCCACCGTGGTCATCCCACGCGCCCTGCTCCGCGTCCTCCTGGTCGTCCCCGAGGCCAGGGTCGGCGCACGGCTGGAGCCGCGCGTCAAGGGGGGGGGGTACTGTCACGGATTCTGCAGAGGCTGCTCCTCCTCCTTGCTCGGGCAGGCTTCGGCGTTCGTCGTCCCCGGAGTACTAGCTACCACCGTTGGATGTTTCGATGTTTGTTTGGTTTGGTCTGTCTGTTGCACCTGTGTCCGTTTGTGTCTAATTATGTGTCCTATAAGTTTTCTGCTTTGTGTATGTGAGTTTGTGTGTTGTTGTCCGCCTGTCCGTTGATGTCAGAGTTTTGTGCTCATTTAGTTAGTGTTTTACGCACTGCTTGCGTAATCGCTCGCCTCCAGTGTTTGAGGCCCGTTTATTTTTGTATTGTATATTTGACTAGTAAAGTCTGTTTGACTGAGCTTCTGTGTCCTGCGCCTGACTCTGACACCGCATCCACATCAGCCACATTGACAGAACAACACACCGCTCATGGAGTCAGCAGGAGCAGCGGCGGCACCCAAGTCGCTGGAGGATCGGATCAGCGAGCAAGACGCCATGATCCGGCAACTCGGGTCCGCCATGAATGAGGTGACGAACACTCTGCGCCGATTGGTAACTAGAGAGGTGCCCACACCTCCGCCCACCTTACCATCACCATCGGCCAGTCCTCCCATCCCAGCACCGGAACCCAGTGGAATTCGGCTCTCGCTCCCGAGGGCGTATGATGGCACCGCAGCCGGGTGTCAGGGGTTCCTCCTGCAGGTGGAACTCTACCTGGCCACCATACACCCGGCGCCCTCGGGATACGAGAGCGTCTCCGCCCTCATCTCCTGTCTCTCCGGCAAGGCGTTGGAGTGGGCCAACGCCGAATGGAGGGGAATAGACGCCGCCACCATCACCTACGCGGAGTTCTCCCGCCGCTTCAGAGCAGTTTTCGACCATCCACCTGAGGGGAAAGCGGCGGGGGAGCGTCTGTTCCACCTCCGACAGGGGAAGAGGAGCGCACAGGAGTTCGCCCTGGAGTTCCGGACTCTAGCGGCGGATGCAGGGTGGAATGAGAGGGCCCTCATCGACCACTATCGGTGTTTATTTTTGTATTGTATATTTGACTAGTAAAGTCTGTTTGACTGAGCTTCTGTGTCCTGCGCCTGACTCCGACACTGCATCCACATCAGCCACATTGACATAAAGCTATCAATGCTACTGAGGTTTGAGAAGGTTTTGCCTGAAAAAGTACAGATAGGATTCCATGTCAATGTCCAATAATTTGTCCCAATCCCCTTTGCTGTGTTTTAAATGCCAAAGAATGGGACATGTAGCTGCTCAGTGTAAAGGAAAGAAAAGATGTGCCAACCCACTGGGCACAGAGGTCAATTCAACTACTAGTTTTGATTTACATTTGGTGGATGCCAGGTGCAGAGAGAGGCTAGAGAGTCCCAGAGATATAGAATCAATCATGATGTCTCATATGCAGAGGCTGTAAAACAGATTGGTGGAACTACTAGTTGGACTGATGGGGCTACCATGGCTGCTCTCGTAGTAACTGGACCTAGAACTGGTGCTTCTACTAATCCTGACATGATTTTGAGGCCTGTTCAGAAATCTTGCTCCCATAAATGTGCTGTGTCAAAGGACACTGATTGTATATAAAATTGACTTCATATCTTTCACCGGAAAGGTTATCAACACAACCCGGATTGTGGAAAGAAGAAATGCCAGGTTGAAGATTATTGTAGATACGGCAACAGAGTTATTAGGGTAACAGATGTCATGGTCGACATTATTTTTGAAATGCTGAAAAATCCTAAGGATGGATTGTCTCAGCATGATAGAGATAACGTTTGAAGAGGTTGGATGGGGTTGGGGGGAGGTTGGGAGGGGAGGGGGAGGGTTTGTTAGAAGTTATTGAGGATTTATTTGTTTATTTATACTGAAAAAATATATAAACACAACATGTAAAGTGTTGGTCCCATGTTTAATGAGCTGAAATAAAAGATCCTAGATATTTTCTGTACGCACAAAAAGCTTATTTCTCTCAAAATGTTTTTACATCCCTGCATTTCTCCTTTGCCAAGATTATCCATCCACCAGACAGGTGTGACATATCAAGAAGCTGATTAAACAGCATGATCATTACACACGTGCACCTTGTGCTGGGGACAATACAAGGCCACTCTAAAATGTGCAGTTTTGTCACACAACACAATACCACAGATGTCTCAAGTTTTGAGGGAGCGTGCAATTGGCGTGCTGACTGCAGGAATGTCCACCAGAGCTGTTGCCAGAGAATTGGATGTTCATTTATCTAACATATGCCACCTCTATTGTCATTTTAGAGGATTTGGCAGTACATCCAACCGGCCTCACAACCGCAGAACTTCACATCAGGCTTCTTCACCTGTGGGATCTTCTGAGACCAGCCACCTGGAAAGCTAATGAAACTGTAGGTTTGCACAACCAAATATTTTCTGCACAAACTGTCAGAAACTGTCTCAGGGAAGCTCATCTGCGTGCTCGTTGTCCTCACCAGGGTCTTGACCTGACTGCAGTTCGGCTTCGTAACCGACTTCAGTGGGCAAATGCTCACCTTTGATGGCCACTGGCACGCTGGAGAAGTGTGCGCTTCATGGATGAATTCCTGTTTGAACTGTACCAGGCAGATGGCAGACTTTGTGTATGGCATGGTGTGGGCGAGCATTTGCTGATGTCAACGTTGTGAAAAGAGTGCCCCATGGTGACTGTGGGGTTATGGTATCGCAGGCATAAGCTACAGACAATGAACACAATTACATTTTATCGATGGCAATTTGAATGCACAGAGATACTGTGACGAGATCCTGAGGCCCATTGTCGTGCCATTCATCCTCCGCCATCACCTCATGTTTCAGCATGGTAATGCACAGCCCCATGTTGCAAGGATCTGTACACAAATCCTGGAAGCTGAAAATGTCCCAATTCTTCCATGGCCTGCATACTCACCAGTCATGTCACCCATTGAGCATGTTTGGGATGTGCTGGATTGACATGTATGACAGCGTGTTCCAGTTCCCGCCAATATCCAGCAACTTTGCATAACCATTTTATTTACTTTTTTATTTCACCTTTATTTAACCAGGTAAGCCAGTTGAGAACAAGTTCTCATTTACAACTGCGACCTGGCCAAGATAAAGCAAAGCAGTGCGATAAAAAAAAAATAACAACACAGAGTTACATATGGGATAAACAAAACATAAAGTCAAAAATACAACAGAAAATATATATACAGTGTGTGCAAATGTAGCAAGTTATGAAGGGGAGTGGGACAACATTCCACAGGCCACAATCAACATTGTGATCAACTCTATGCGAAGGACATGTGTAGCGCTGCATGAGGCAAATGGTGGTCACACCAGATACTGACTGGTTTTCCGATTCAGGTCCTTACCTTTTTTTAAGGTATCCATGACCAACAGTTGCATATCTGTATTCCCAGTCATGTGAAATCCATAGATTAGGACCTAATGAATTTATTTCAATTTAATGATTTCCTTATATGAACTATAACTTGTTGCATGTTGCGTATATACTTTTGTTCAGTGTATTTTCTTAGTAGTACAGAATTAGGCAACCCATGATTGATCGCACAATCCAGCATAGGTGGCGGCATGCACCTTAAACGGTTGTTTGCGAACCGCCATTATACCATAGAAAAAGAAGAAATCCTGCGCATGTTTGATCCGCAAAAACACAAGAAGCAACGTCACGTCTAGCTGTCATGGCGCTGTACAGCAGTCAATGCTGACTTTTTGAGTAGACCACTGGCTGAAGAAATCGACACGGTTTTACTTATAGAAGGGGTACAGTACATTTAAACGCAATAATCTTGGTTTGGTGAATATCTATAGAAGCAATCAGGTAATTGTAATAAGACAACAATATCTAAACGCAGTGTCAGAGTCATTGCTAACTAGCTAAGCTAGCTAGCGAGCTAATGTAACCAGCATGCATTGTTGCAATGTGTTGACAACTTCTTGATTCTCAGTTGCGGTAGCTATAACGTTGTCTAGCTACCAATAGCATAGCTCTGTAAAACATGAAGAATGTGGTATCATAGACAAACATAAAGCTATGTGCATTCCATCCAATGATTTATACATACACTACATGACTGATAGGGGGCGCTGTGTTGAATCCACTGTGCCTCCATTACATTTTACATTTTAGTAATTTAGCAGATGCTCTTATCCAGAGCGACTTATAGTTAGTGAGTGCATAATTATTTTATTTTTTCATACCCCCGGTGGGAATCGAACCCACAACCCTGGCGTTGCAAACGCCATGCTCTACCAACTGAGCTACATCCCTGCCGGCCATTCCCTCCCCTACCCTGGGCCAATTGTGCGCCGCCCCATGGGTCTCCTGGTCGCGGCCGGCTACGACAGAGCCTGGATTCGAACCAGGATCTCTAGTGGCACAGCTAGCACTGCGATGCAGTGCCTTAGACCACTGTGCCACTCCATCTTGGCACTCCCCCAACAGGTTTTGGCACATTTATTCTATTGCGGACACCATAATGTACATGTGTCAAACTAATTCCACAGTGGGCCGAGTGTCTGCATGTTTTCGCTCCACCCTTGTACTTGATTGATGAATTAAGGTCACTAATTAGAACTCCCCTTACCAGGTTTTCTAGGTCTTAATTGAAAGGAAAAAACTACCTGCAGACACTCTGTACAAATCATTCATTTTACAAATTCTCATGACAATGCATCATGCAAATTAGTTAGAGAACCCAAGGGGGACCCACTACACGGGGACCCCTCAGGGGTCTGTGCTTAGTCCCCTCCTGCACTCCCTGTTCACCACGACTGCGTGGCCACGCACGACTCCAACACCATCATCAAGTTTGTTGACGACAAGACGGTGGTAGACCTGATCACCGACGGCGATGAAACCGCCTACAGGGAGAATGTCAGAGACTTAGCAGTGTTGTACCAGGACAACCACCTCTCCCTCATCGTCAGTAAGACCAAGGAGCTGATCGTGGACTATAGGGGTAGAGCACTCCCCCAACCACATCGACAGGGCTGTTGTGGAGCGGGTCGAGAACTGTATCACTGCATGGTATGGCAAATGCACTGCCTTCGACCGCAAAGAGATACAGAGGGTGGTGCGGACAGCCCAGTACATCACTGGGGCCGAGCTCCCTGCCATCCAGGACCTCTATATCAGGTGGTGTCAGAGGAATGCCCAAACAATTGCCAAAGACTCTAGTCACCCAAGCCATAGACTGTTCACTCTGCTACTGTCCGGCAAATGGTACCGGAGCATCGGCTCTCGGACCAACAGTCTATGAGACAGCTTCTACCCCCAAGCCATAAGACCGCTAAATAGTCAAACTGCTAAATAGTCAATTAATGGTACCCAAACTATCTGCACTGACCCTATGCACACTCACTAGACTATATATATATATATATATATATATATACTCACTCACACACACAACCCACACAAATTCACATTTCACACACTATATACGCATACCGACACAACACAAACGCATACACATTACGCACACACTTTTACTCATCATTAGCTGCTGCTACTCTGTTCTTTATTTTACTCTTATTATCTATCCTGATGCCTAGTCACTTTACCCTGCCTTCATGTACATATCTACCTCAAATACCTTGTACCTCTGCACATTGATTTGGTACTGGTACTCCCTGTATATAGCTCCATTCTTTTGTATTTTATTTTATTCCTTTTGTGTTACTATTTTTATTATTATTTTAAAACTCTGCATCGTCGGGAAGGGCTCGTAAACAAGCATTTCACAATTGTCTACACCAGTTGTATACGGCGCATATGACAAATAAGATTTGATTTGAAGGCCACCGGGTCCCCCTCTTGGGTTCTCAGCTGAAGGTATGGACCACAGCTGGCTCCATTTGAACTAAAATCCCGACACTCTGTTTTAACGTTTAGAAACATTATTAATCCTCGCATGCGATACGGTTTTGGAAACCTTTGGAACTTAAATCAAATGTTTATTGGTCAAATACACAGTTTAGCAGATGTTATAGCGGGTGCAGCGAAATGCTTATGTTACTAGCTCCTAACAATGCAGGAAAATGTCAAACAGGTACACAAATAATAAATACACATTTTGTAGGCAATTTGGACCTTATGGCTGTGGAATCTAGTGGAAACTCGCGCTAAGAGCATTATTTTTATACCTCAATGGCTAAAAGAGAATCTGGCACGAGCAAATTACCAGTGAGAATTCACAATCTGTGAGCTTTATCATGCTGTGACTTCAATCACAAGCGTAAAAAAGCGAATCATTTGATTGTGAGCCATAGCCGCGGGAAGTAGTTTGGGGGTTGGGTTGTTGCGATTTATTAATTTATTATTTTATGCCCGCACTACAGGCGGCTATATCGGTCCACTAATACAGGACTAGTAAAGGTCCAGTGCACTACTTTTGTAAAAATGTATTCGTATTTCTTTTTTTATTCTGATTTTTCAGGGGGTGCTGCAGCACCCTCAGCACTCCTACTTCCCGCGGCTATGTTGTGAGCTATTTCACGCTGTGAACATTTTTACTTGACACCGGGCAGTGTCGCATCAGGGCATTTGCCTCAGGCAGCATATAGATATGTGGAATGACACAATGGAATTGGAGTCATGATAAGGACTACATGCAAATATACTGTAGGTGTTCTTGTGAAGACTTATTGAATGAAGCGTTGTGGATAGTTATCCGTTTAGCTTTCCTATAAAATTCTCTCCCTAATTGCTTTGTCAAGGATGGCGGAGCCAGGCTCAAGCGACCCTGGTGGCCCCTCTAGCACTCCGGCAACGCCCGGAGGGAGTGGAAGGGGGTTGGTGATGGGACGCCGGCTTCCAGCTACCCTCTCCACCGGCCGCTTCCCTTCCATGCGCGCCAAAGACCTCACCTTAGGAGGGGTGAAGAAGGTAGGCTCAGTGAATTGTATGGTGTTTTTAATGATCTATCACCAGCGCTTGTGCATTTGTTTAACTAAGTCCATCTTGACTCCCATGTTTTATATTTCAGAAAACCTTCACCCCTAACATTATTGGCCGAAAAGCTAAAGAAGAGTAAGTTGTTGTTCTTTCTGTGACGATATGTGATTACATGATTCTGAAATGTTTTCCAGCACATACTAAAGGACCATATGTTGACAGCGGAGTTTTACTTTCTTCTACTATAGGCAGAAGGTTGAGGCTGGGCAAAGGAGGGAAAGGAGAGAGAATGATCGGGGTCGTGAGCGAGGTGGTAGAGGTGGTCGGGGCCGAGGACGTCCAGAAGTCATCCAGTCCCACTCCATCTTTGAGCAAGGGCCTGCAGAGATGATGAAGAAAAGAGGTAGGATCGGAGTCATTCATTCAACTGGAATTCCATAACATTTTGTTTTATGGTATCATTACCATATTGGTGTATCATTACGTTTTTGTGGTCCTCTGTAGCTCAGCTGGTAGAGCACGGCGCTTGTAACGCCAGGGTAGTGGGTTCGATCCCCGGGACCACCCATACACTAAAATGTATGCACGCATGACTGTAAGTCGCTTTGGATAAAAGCGTCTGCTAAATGGCTTATTATTATTATTATTAATATTATTATTATTAACCCCTACGTTTCTTCCTGTGCTCTATCCAGGCGGCTATGAAGGTGAGAGAGATGCACCAAGTGTGGGTCCCTCACCCATTATCAACATCAAGAAGGAGAAGAGGGAGACTGAGGAAGAGACCAAAGAAATTTTGCGCAATCTGGAACGAGACAATGTGAGTACTCCATGTACCTATGTCTCATACTGTCGGCCTGTACATGAATTGTCTATTTCCTTGTCCACTTATGAGTAATTTGCAACTAATTTCCACCAGTTCCTGGATGACCCTCACCTAAGGAGTGATGTAAGGAGCTGTCCTGTTCAGCTGCCCCTGGCTGTGTCAGGGTGGGGATTCAAGGAGGAAAGTGATGTCACTGATATAGCCTCCAAATCAGACAAGACTGAGGAGGACAGTGAGAACATGGAGGGAACAAATGCATTCAAAGGTAACTATAATCACAGCTCTTACATCGTCAACATTCATTTTTTTTTTTTTTTTTAGTCATTTAGCAGACGCTCTTATCCAGAGCGACTTACAGTTTAGTGAATACATATATATATTTTTTTTATTTTTATACTGGCCCCCCGTGGGAATCGAACCCACAACCCTGGCGTTGCAAACACAACCTTTGGCTGCTCATAGTTGGTTAAAATTGTATGATGCACAACAGATGATGACATCAGTGTCTATGGATGATGTTACCGGAAACACTTATCAACTTCTATCTTTTTTACTACAAAACATAGAAATCTGACACACTATATAAATTCATGTCAGTTCAAATTAAACAAAATGGCAAAGCAATGGACTCTAACTGTCTAGGCCATTTGTCTCCCTCCCTCTCTCTTCAGTGAAGCAGGAGCCAGAAGATGCTCCAGAGGTTAAGAAGATGGAACCCACTTTCAGACCTCCTCCACTCCCTGAGCCTGAAGTTTTACCTGAGCTGCTGGAGACCTGGAGTCAGAGCAAAGAGGAGGAGCTGTTCTTCATCCAGCTCCCTGACTCTCTACCAGGGCAGCCGCCCACCCAAGAGGTCAGGCCAGTGAAGACAGAGATGCAGTCAGAGGATGGACAGTCCATGCTATTGAAAACTGAATCTCAAGTAGGTATTCAGGTGTATGAAATATGTGGTTCAGACAGTAAGGCTACTGTGTACACTATATACGATCAGTTTGTTTGTGTGTCTGTCCTCTGTGGAATAGGAGGAGGAGCAGGAAGAAAACAGTTGCCATCTGAGGGACCTGCAGGAGGGTCTGGTGGGACGACTGTTGGTTCGGAAGTCTGGTCGAGTGCAGCTCATACTGGGGCATGTCACACTAGATGTGGCTCTGGGAACCTCATGCGCTTTCCTCCAGGTCAGAGAAAACACAACCTTTGGCTGCTCATAGTTGGTTAAAATTGTATGATGCACAACAGATGATGACATCAGTGTCTATGGATGATGTTACCGGAAACACTTATCAACTTCTATCTTTTTTACTACAAAACATAGAAATCTGACACACTATATATACAAAAGTATGTGGACACCCCTTCAAATTAGTAGATTCTGCTATTTCAGCCACACCCATGCAATCTCCATAGACAAACATTGGCAGTAGAATGGCCTTACTGAAGAGCTCAGTGACTTTCAACGTGGCACCGTCATAGGATGCCACCTTTCCAACAAGTCAGTTCGTCAAATTTCTGCCCTGCTAGTGTAAGTGCTGTTAGTGTGAAGTGGAAATGTCTAGGAGCAGCAACGGCTCAGCCGCGAAGTGGTAGGCAACACAAGCTCACAGAACGGGACCGCCGAGTGCTGAAGCGCGTAGCTCATAAAAAACATCTGTCCTCAGTTGCAACACTCACTACCGAGTTCCAAACTGCCTCTGGAAGCAACGTCACCACAATAACTGTTCTTCGGGAGCTTCATGAAATGGGTTTCCATGGCCGAGCAGCCACACACAAGTCTAACATCACAATGCCAAGTGTCGGCTGGAGTGGTGTAAAGCTTGCTGCCATTGGACTCTGGAGCAGTAGAAATGCATTCTCTGGAGTGATGAATCACGCTTCACCATCTGGCAGTCCGACGGACGAATCTGGGTTTGGCGAATGCCAGGAGAACGCTACCTGCCCTAATGCATAGAGCAACTGTAAAGTTTGATGGAGGAGGAATAATGGTTTGGGGTTGTTTTTCATGGTTCGGGCTAGGCCCCTTAGTTCCAGTGAAGGGAAATCTTAACGCTACAGCATACAATGACATTCTAGATGATTCTGTGCTTCCAACGTTGTGGCAACAGTGTGGGGAAGGCCCTTTCCTGTTTCAGCATGACAATGCCCCCGTGCACAAAGCGAGGTCCATACAGAAATGGTTTGTCGAGATCGGTGTGGAAGAACTTGACTGGCCTGCACAGAGCCCTGACCTCAATCCATCGAACACCTTTGGGATGAATTGGAACACCGACTGCGAGCCAGGCCTAATTGCCCAACATCAGTGCCCGACCTCACTAATGCTCTTGTGGCTGAATGGAAGCAAGTCTCCGCAGCAATGTTCTAACATCCAGTGGAAAGCCTTGCCAGAAGAGTGAAGGCTGTTATAGCAGCAAAGGGGGGACCAACCTCATATTAATGCCCATGATTTTGGAATGAGATGTCCACATACTTTTGGTCATGTAGTGTATGTTGGTGATGAATTTGATGTTAGAAAAAGAGTGGAATTTCCCTTTAAATCTTCACTTATCTGTAGTTGTATGTAAACATACAGTTGTAGCCAATTAAATTGGCACCTTTTGCACTTTTCTTAAATAAGTTGAAATTGAAAAACACTTTTGGTCATCACACCTTCTTATTGGATCTTCAACATTGAGGAGACAATTTAATTTTTTAAAACTTATGTAATGGACAAATTTATTGCCACCCCGGAGCTAGTACTTGGTTTGCATATCCTTTGGCCAAAGTAACTGCAGAAATACGCTTATAGTAGCCATCGGTAAACTTGCTTCACCTTTCTACTGACAATTTGGCCCACTTTTCAGCAGCAAACTGCTCAACATAGGTTTTGGATGTGATTCAGATCAGGAATCATTGCTGGCTACTCCAGAACAGTCCAGCATCTCTTCTTAACAATTCCTGGGTGCTTTTTGATGTGTGTTTCGGGTCATTGCCATGCTGGAAGACCCACAACCTTCAATGGCGACCCAGTTTTTAGACACTGGGTTGAACATTGGACCACAAAACACCTGATACTCTGCTGATTCCCTGATGCCTTTTTTTTCAAATTCAACTTATTTTACACAAAATTGGGAATTATTTAAGCGAAGTGCAAGGGTGCCAATATAATTGCCCCACCCCACCCCCTTAGGAGCTGGTGTCAGTTGGAACAGGAGAGGGCCGGACTGGTGACTTGTCAGTGCTGGGACACATCAAACACAAATTGGTTTGCTCGCCAGACTTCGAAGCCCTGCTGGAGAACAGAGTATGATGAACCAGGACTGGACGAACAGGACAAATATAAGCACCCACTATTAGACCAGGGTTTCTACAGGACAGTGGGGACCACATCCAGAAAAACACACAGACATGCAGTGCTGTATAAGGACAGTAGTACCACAAGCAGACATTGCACCTAAATCCTATACATGTTTTTTCAGGTGTCCATTGTTGTACATTGGCCCTGGATAGTTTCAGGATGTGTAATAGAAAGTATTGTTACACAGATTTCCTACCACTAGTTTGTCAGAAAAGATGGCCTGTTTACAGAACATTGTATTTATTTTTCTCTGCTGAAAGTAATGGGGGAAGATTCCCTTGTTTGAGATGTTTAAAAAAGGTGTGCTAAATGACTCCAATAAAGGGAAGGTACAGTATTCTCTCATTAAAAATGATTAGCCTACATGAATGTGCCAAATTCCAAATGTCTTATGTAGTGGTAAAAAATATAGGTGGGTAAACTCTGATTGCCGGTTGCGGTGTAAAAATGTACGTTCCCTATACTTTCAGTTAATTTTTCTGCAAAAGGTGGGTAAACTGTCAGTCAAAAAAGGTGGGTAAACTGCATTTACTTGCGTTTACCCTCCACTACGCCATCAGGTCTAAGCTTGGGAGGGGTAAGTGGATAAGTAATATTGCCCCTGTGGTATCTTGTAAACACATACCTAAATTATTGGACGTAAGATGAATAAAAAGAACAAAAGTTCCTGTATGCTTTATGTATTGCTATACTTATATTAGCACTGAAGCTCTTAGGTCTAGGTCACTTGTTATTCTTCAAACATTTCCAGTGTGATCCATATCTTTTAAACTTTACATGATGCGAGATGAGGATGTATCTGGGTCTAGCGTGGATTGCATTTACCTAACTAAATCAGATGTATGATTGCCCTCATTGGGCCTACTGTGATGTATTTTATATAAATGTATTTTGTGGTCAGCATTAAGTAATGCGCCAGTGTTTCCACGTCCCACCACCAGATGTCAGTTTAGAGACGAAGGGAGGATGTTTTTGTTCTTGCTGAAAAACGAGACCGCAAAACCGACGAGATTCTCGCAGGAACATCTGATGCGCACCATCATCGTTCATCACATAGCATCTATGCGGCTGTCGGTTGGCCACGGGTGGAGACAACAATGTGAGGTGAGTACATTAATGTAGCCATCTAACCACGTTTCAGGAAATTGTATCTCAACATCGTCTTCCAGGATAGAACGCTAACGTAGTACTAAAACATCGACTGCTTGATACTGGTTGTTCTTGATTGAGTACAGTGTCAATAGTTACCACAGCCACAAAGTCCTAATCATGTCTAAACCCCGCCTGTTTCTACAATTTATCTTCTTAAAATCTGATTTTAAACCTAACCTTAACCACACTGCTAACCTTATGCCTAACATTAAATTAAGACCAAAAAGCAATGTTTTGTTTATGAATTTGTACCATATCGCTAGCCAATTTTGAATGTGTGGCTGTGGTAACTAGTGACAACCTGAGGACTGCTGGTTAGAAGAGCATTTTAGCTAACCATAACCCTTTTCTTAACCTAATTCTCCTAAACTGCTATGTTACTACTAAGCTGCTGTGTAAGTTATAACCTGCCAAGAAAAAGTCACTTTTTGTCGTAGCTGTATTCCACCTAGTCAGTACAGTAACGCGTTATACTAGCCTAGCTAGTTTGTCCTAGAAATAGGCGGCTAAACTCAACTCCACAATTTAAGAATAGCCCGCAATTAATGTGTAATTGCGGACTATTCTTTGGCTGCTGACATCCAGTCCGCCCACACTGGTTGCCGCTCAACCCCATGGTAAATCCTGGAGTTGGGTTTAATTGGCTAGCCCTAAAAGTGTGATTATGGATTGGATGCATGAATCGTGACACATTATTAGCTAGCATCCGTGTAAATTCTAGCTTCCTGGTCTGCTAGAGATAATGTGTTAAATTATTGTAACAGTCAGAAAATGTACGTACATAATGTTCTTGATTCTCATACTGTGCAATAGCAAGCCCTTCACAAAAATGTAATCAGCAAGCCAGCTACATAGTTAACTAGTCGGCTTCCGTTGCTATAATAACAGGTAGTGAGTCGTGACTGGCGCGATGAGTGATAGTTAGTGGAAATAGTAGCGTATTTTATATAGTGTACATTGAATAGTGGCGTTAGTAATTGCAAGAACTTGTAACTAGCTACAAAGAACTAGCTAACGTTACGAAGAACACACTTGGCTGGCCTGACCATCCTAACATTTGAGTCATAATCCGAAGGAGAGAGACGCCACACTAGCATCCAGGTCGTGTCCATCATGCGCAGTTAAAATTAACCTACGTTATTTGCGTAAAGCTTCATATTGGTTGATTCTGATACATCCCAAGTGGGGGACACATTTCTACAACGAGTTAGCATGTCGGAAAGATTTTCCTAGTTCCGACTAGCACGTAGGCCTAACCTTGTGTTTTTGTTTACATCTGTTTCAGGTACATGTGATAGTCAACTAAACAGTGGCAACTTTTGGATCCTTTCAATGCACAATATTCTCAAGCCCTTTCAGGGTCCATAAAAAAACGTGTGTTCGGGTGTAGTGGAGGATGGAATTATAATTTTGTGTCGAGTTCAAAAAAAAAAAAAATCATAGTAGACCAACGCCCCACAATATGTTTGAATGATAAGAAGCTATAGAAAACAACTGAACTGAAAGACGGGAAGGCCCAGTTGCTAAACATATTTATAAAGCTGGGAGACACAGCAGCAAGATGCTGTCCGCTGCAGACATGGATTCACTGGCCAGTGTGAGGAGGAGTCTGGTCCGTCAGACATCTTAATGAAGGCACTGTTCTGGCTGAGAACTGAGACTGGGGTCCTAAAAGGCTGACAAGTGCGGCACTGTCCTCTCCTGCTGTTGGGTAGCCTTTATATTCTGTGTAGTAGGATCCCCCCATTGCCCCCTAAAGCCTCAAGATGGGCCCGTTCTTAGACTTCAACCCCTTTGATAACCTGCTGTGCATTCTCTTGGGCATCTCCTTCACGGTGTGGTTCACCCTACTGCTCGTCTTCATCATCGTGCCTGCCATCTTTGGAGTGTCCTTTGGCATTCGACGGCTCTACATGAAAACCCTACTGAAGATCTTTGAGGTGAGTGGAAACCACTTGACTGTTTGCAAGGGTTCACAGATGTTATCAGTTTGGTCAGAGGACATCACATCAGACATTTGCACATGTATGATTAATATGAATGATCAATAATAGATGGTAGGCATATATGTCACATAACATTTATGACTGATGTAGGCTTGAGTGGAGTGCATTGATTATACTCACTGTGTGCAGTGATGTGGCAGTTCCTTGCTTGACAGTGCACTTGACCCAAACTGGGACTTAGCAATGGGAATTCATTTTAGTGTAGGTCATGCGCACCTCCCCACCTTCAATCCCTCACCTTCTACATCAACGCTCTATTGTGTGAGTTCAGTTCAGGTCCGTATTTACAATGTGCTTCATTTGCTTCCCATGAGGTCACGACAAACACTTTTGTTGTCAAAGAGAGGCCTAGGCAGGACATGTAATATAAGATGGCTATAATGGATGTGTAATAGCAATAGCACACAAGCATAAAGTTAGCATCACTCTAATCAATGACTCAACAATGTAATGCATGTCAATATAGTGGGTCAGTGCCAAGAGAGTCATTAAAAACTTTGCTGGCTGGCCACTATAAGCCAATTGTTATAGTGGCACTCTTCACAACTCTGGCTTCACAGTGACCTTTTATCACTAGTACCCAGACAGTAGTTCATTCAGTGGTTGTTGGGCGGTGATGATGGCCAGGGGCCCTGCCTCCCCCTCATTATGTAACTATGGAGAGACTAGAGAGAACGGTACAGACCTGGGTACTAAAAGTCTTCATCTGGCTACATGTTTAAGGTATGAACATGACTTTGTGGGATCTGTGCTTCTGATCATAATTTATCAACATTCTCATTCTTGTTTAGCCTACTGATGGGTTCAAAAGTGTCTCTCAATATGATTAATCTAAAGTTTCAGTGGTTGATGGGAGTTAGCCTAGCTGTCTGTTCCTCTCACTAGTGTGATGAAACCAGAGAAGGTTATCTCCCTCTGTCTTCCTCTGGTTTGTTAAGTGCTGACAGTAAGCCTGTGAGCAGTTTCCACCAAACCCCTTTGAGAGAGAGTTCTAGTGGCAGAAATAAATGGGCCGGAGGGAGATGGCCGGGGCTGGAGATATGAGAGGTTTCTCAGCTCGCAGTAGTGCCAAGTCTAGTCTACCAACATTTTAATGAGAAAAGTAGGCTAAAGGGTAAAAATTACAGGTTTTTGGAAACTAGGTGATTGATAGTATGACAGAATATTTCCCCTCTTGGTTTGTGCAAGTACAGACCTTGGTATTGCTTGGATGAGTCAAGTCTCCAAAGCGGAAATCACATCCTTTGCTGCTGGTAACTTAAGTCACGAATGTAACCCCATAACCCGGATATGTGTGAGCTGGGCTATGGGAATTGTCTTTCTATCTAGGTTATGAACCTGAACTTTCTCTTCATGGTTAGTACACCAGATCTCATGCAGAGAAGGTCAGTCTCACAAGGAATACCTGGCTGGCTTTTATACCAGACTGATGACAATGCACTTTCTGTTCAACAATATTGCATCAACTGCAGGGTTAGGGGATGGGAAGGAGAGAATGAACAAGGGGGACCCTGTAACTCCTACTCAGTCTAGGCTATGAATGAGTGTAGAGGTATCACACACCAGCTCTTTTTTGGATAGTATTATGTAATCCTGTGCTACCACACCCCTCTGTCCTGAGCCATGTGCTGGCCTTGATTTGCCCTGTTCCAGTTCAGACTCAACAGGATTGCTCTGCTCGTCATCTACTAGCCTAAACCAAAGCAAACACATTTGTGTCCCTATAAGCTGCACTTTAGTCTTATGATTCACATGTCATGGTATTGTCATGTCGGTAAGGATATTGTTGTGGCCAACCAAATGCAAAATCTGCCCTCGGTGAGCAGTGTTATCCTTTCAAAAGGTGGGATGGTCAATTTCAGTTTCTAAAGAGAACTGTGTCCGTCGCCCTGTAGTGTTGTTGACATTGGCCTGGCACCGCTTAGTAGCAAATATGCTTTACCTCTTACTCTGTTGTGGTGGTCCTGTCCACAAGTGGTCAGTCTTGTAAATGTCCAGTTTTCCTGTCCTGTCAGAAGAATGTTGTTTCAGTTGATCAGGTAAACCTCAACTGCTGCCAAGGCCTGTTGCCCAGTAAAGCCTTTTAGAATGTGAGCACATTCTTTGCATTTTTGTTAGCCAGGTGCCCTGAGCTACTTCCATTAGCCAGCCATTTGGATCACATAACTGTATTGGAGTGTCATAGATGTGTAAGATGGATGCTTGAGCAGATTAGAATGTTCTGGCAGCAGAATTCTGCTGCTCTTCGCTCTGTTTTCTGTCTGTGTGAACATCAGGATCCTATAAAGATGTGATGTGTTGTGTGAACTTGCACCCAGCTCAGTGCCTGAGGTTGGAGTGAAAGTTTGAGAACAGCGGATCCCCTCCCACTTCCTCCTCTCCTCCCTGCTCTGCCTGTTGTTGCTAAGGCATGGGCAACACTGTCCTTTTCCAGCCTCTTACTGTAGTGTTTGTCTAGGTGTGCAAATACAGATACAGTATGAACATCTGCATTTAGCTTAGGTGAGCATGTTCTTTTAGGCCTACATAAAATGGACAATTACAATGTGAATGCATGTTTTTATATAAAATCGAATAATTCTAATTATTTCCATGGCAAGACTCTCCTCACTATCTGCCCTGGAATAGTAACATCAGACTAATAGCAAAATACCTTATCAACATAGTAGCATTAACTGCTTTATGTTATATTGTTTCAGTCTCGTGAAATATAGGCCTATTGAAAATGGCTTGTTGATATCATGTCTGCAATTTACTGCACGTCTTTATGAACTCAAGTGTTGTAGATAAAAGATAATGGACATATCAATCTGTCATTTTATTATCTAATCTGTCAAACTGCCACATAATTCCCGTAATAAAGCATGAAGCTGTTTTGGTCATTTTAAGTGGACAAAAAAATGTGTTGGTCTATTTAGAATTAGATTTTTGTCTGAATGAGGTTGAGGCAGAAAATGTGTTTCTCTACGAAATGAAGGGCTAACACCTACAGGGTTTTTTTCTGGATCAAAAAGGGGCTTAGGTGGTGGGCGTGGCAGGGGGCGAGGAAATTGGCGCGGTGTAGAGACATTTTTTCATTTTTGCCGGTGTCGAAATGTGTTCATTTTTAAGCATATTTCCTGCAATTCAAAAAATTCCTCCATGGAGCTGAGACATTTTAGCAATTTTAAAGCTAATTTCCTGCAATTCAAGGCATTTTTGCATCGGCTAATGCTGTGTTCTTTTGCTCAAACATAACAAAATCAATACTGCTAAATTCATTGTTTTTGGAATTTTCAATTCTCCCTGACTGTAGCTGTTATTTTGGTGATTGTTAGTTGTCAAATTATATTATAAAAAAATATATAGGTCCATGTATCTATTCTACATACTTTATATCTGGGTTTAGTCGTTTCAGTTTACACTGAAAGCATTTTTCCATCCTGAAAATTAATAAATACAAATATTATATATATATATATATATATATATATTATTATTTTATTTTTTTTTTTATTACAGTTTGGATTTAGTCAACCCGAAAAAACACTTAGGTGGCCCGCCCAAGGATTTAAATGACAGAAAAATCCCTGACCTGTCTACTTTTCTTTTCTTGTAGTGGGCCACGCATAGGATTGAAAGAGGAGCCAAGGACAACAACCATCTCTTGTACAAGCCCTACTCTAATGGTGAGTGATAGGCTGTGTGTTCTGTGTTGTTGAGGAGTTTGTCTGGTTGGTAGGTGTTAACCATTTTCCATGTCTCCCTGGGGCATTGCAGCCATCATTGCCAAGGAGCCCACCTCCCTGGAGGAGGAGATCAATGAGATCCGGCGCCGCGGCAGTAACCGGGACCTGGACTCCGCTACTGAGTTTGAGATGTCTGACATCTTCTACTTCTGCCGGCGAGGAGTGGAGAGCATCATGGACGATGAGGTGACCAAGAGGTTCTCTGCTGAGGAGCTGGAGTCATGGAACCTGCTGACCCGTAGCAACTATAACTTCCAGCACATCAGCCTGAGGCTGATGGTCCTGTGGGGGCTGGGGGTGGTGATGCGCTACGGCTTCCTGCTGCCTCTCAGGTAAGACAGGGTCAAGGTTAGGTCAAGGGATCAGATGGGGCGCTGGTTGGTTCAATAATAGCACTCTGTTTTCTGACATGTGGAAACAAATATGTTTGACAGGCTGACATCAAACACTTCTCCATGTTTCTTCCTGAGAACATATAAACAAACAACATTTGTCCATAGGCAGTGCTCTAACTAATAAAAGTAAGGAACACAACATAGAACTTTATTTTTTTAATCGATTGAGATATACAGTAACCTATATTGTAGGGTGTTCATCCATAAAATGATTAATTCAAGGTTTACACATATGTCCATTCAATAGATGTATGCGTCAGAAAATCAATAGTCCAAACACCATGTCTCTACCATACAGTGCATTCGGAAAGTATTGAGACCCCTTTACTTTTTCCACATTTTGATACGTTACAGCCTTATTCTAAAATGGATTAAATTGTTTTTTTCCCGAGTGGCGCAGCGGTCTAAGGCACTGCATCTCAGTGCTAGAGGCGTCACTACAGACCCTGGTTTGATTCCAGGCTGTATCACAATCCGGCTGTGATTGGGAGACCCATAGGGCGGCGCACAATTGGCCCAGCGTCGTCCGGGTTTGACCGGGGTAGGCCGTCATTGTAAATAAGAATTAGTTCTTAACTGACTTGCCTAGTTAAATAAAGGAGAAATATAAATAAAAAATCAATCTGAACACAATACCCCATAATGACAAAGCGAAAACAAGTTTTTCGAAATTGTAGGAAATGTATTAAAAATTTTAAATGTCGAGGCACTTTTTGCAGCATTGAAGGTCCCCAAGAACACAGTGGCCTCATCATTCTTAAATGGGAGACGTTTGGAACCACCAAGACTCTTCCTAGAGCTGGCCGCCTGGCCAAACTGAGCAAACGGGGGAGAAGGACCTTGGTCAGGGAGGTGACCAAGAACCTGATGGTCACTGACAGAGCTCCAGAGTTGCTCTGTGGAGATGGGAGAACCTTCCAGAAGGACAACCATCTCTGCAGCACTCCACCAATCAGGCCTTTATGGTAGAGTGGCCAGACAGAAGCCACTCCTCAGTAAAAGGCACATGACAGCCCACTTGGAGTTTGCCAAAAGGCACTTAAAGGACTCTCAGACCATGAGAAACAAGATTCTCTGGTCTGATGAAACCAAGATTGAACTCTTTGGCCTGAATGCCAAGCTTCACGTCTGGAGGAAACCTGGCACTATCCCTACGGTGAAGCATGGTGGTGGCAGCATCATTCTGTAGGGATGTTTTTCTGCGGCAGGGACTGGGAGACTAGTCAGGATCAAGGGAAAGATGAACAGAGCAAAGTACAGAGAGATCCTTGATGAAAACCTGCTCCAGAGCTCTCAGGACCTCAGACTGGGGCAAAGGTTCACCTTCCAACAGTACAACGACCCTAAGTACACAGCCAAGACAACGCAGGGGTGGCTTCGGTACAAGTCTCTGAATGTCCTTGAGTGGCCCGCCAGAGCCTGGACTTGAACCTGATCGAACATCGCTGGAGAGACCTGAAAATAGCTGTGCAGCGATGCTCCCCATCCAACCTGACATGGCTTGAGAGGATCCGCAGAGAAGAATGGGAGAAACTCCTCAAATACAGGTGTGACAAGCTTGTAGTATCATGCCCGAGAAGACTCGAGGCTGTAATCGCTGCCAAAGGTGATTCAACAAAGTACTGAATAAAGGGTCTGAATACTTATGTAAATGTGATATTTCAGTCCTGTTTTTGCTTTGTCATTATGGGGTATTGTGTGTAGATTGAGAATGTATTTATTTTTTAATCCATTTTAGAATAAGGCTGTAACGTAACAATGTGGGAAAATGTAAGGGGTCTGAATACTTTCCGAATGCACTGTATATGGTTCAACAGTTAGACTATTTACTCTGAGAATTTAGCACTAAGTTAACTCTGAGGCGCCTCTCCGTGACAACTGCACTAACTTTAAACGTCATCAGAGCACCTCCCAAAGCAAATATGGAAGAGATACAACCAAGAGCGATGCGGTCTTAACTAGCAATGGTCACAGCAATTTAACGTTCTTATTTCATCAACACTGTCAAGTACAAGTATATTAAGGTTACAATATTTTAGAGAACAATCTAAAGATTCATTCTGTGATTTATAAAGACAGGGCAAAGAACTAAGTTTTGAGATTAATTTCATAGCATCCTCTTGAATTGCCCCTTTTTTCTCTACATTCTAGAGCAGTGAGTGAACGTATACACTACCGTTCAAAAGTTTGGGGCACTTAGAAAATTCCCTGTTTTCGAAAGAAAAGCAATTTTTTTGTCCATTTTAAAATAACATCAAATTAATCAATTTGATGTTATTTTAATGGACAAAACTTTTGAACGGTAGTGTAGGCCTATATTTATTCTAGCTACTTCTGAAGCACATGTTCCCTAGAAACGAATATGTAACACTGTAAATACATTTGTTTATTATAAAAAGCTAAAATGATGATGCAAATACTCAGAATATTGGGTTTCTACATTATTTTCCTATTGAGATGCATTACATAGAAAATTGTACACTGTCGTCATTTCACAATCCAAGTTTGTACCGACAGGTAACCTATTGAATAATATTGGCTCAAAGAAAATATTATATTTATATTACCCTCAAACACCAAATTGGGCCCTAATTTCAAATTAGGCCATCATTGTCAATTGTGAATGGTAATTCTTCACGTTTTACGGGTGAAATTTCCAAGCTGCATCTGCATGCCAACCATTTGATCTCAATCAGTTTCATGGGAATATGCATTTAGATCTTCTTGAATGATGTACAGTAAGTAACCAGATGTTGTTAACAGCTACTGCCTACCTGTATTTTGTTTCAATCAAAACACATAGGCTACTTAGCCTAGTGTCGAGTGTGCTGTTGAGTTATGGCCGTATGAGAAGAAAAACATGACTATTCAGCACAATCATCCTAAAATCTCATAAGAAATTAAGTGGTGTTTTTGGTCTAACAGTAACGTTATGCTGTTATATTCGGTATGTTTAGGCCTATGTAGAATACGAATTAGTCATTAAGTGATCTTGCGAGAAATTGATTCAGCTTTGATCTAAACATTATTAAACAAGCACCATTCTGAGAATCGGAGTGTCGCATTCCGCCGTGCTTCTGCAACACCACCTATCTTTTTAAACAGTTTGGGCTAGAAACTAGCCGTTTTCACTGTAGTAACGGTAAAACTATGATGCTAACAAATACATTTTTTATCTAGGGCACTCGGAAACAATGGTAGAGAGAAGCCTAATCATTACAACAATTATTATCTGGGTGATTTTATTTTCTAGGCACACTGGTGCTCCCAAAATAACATTCCAGGTCGCACAGGAAAATATTTAGGAGCATATGCGACCAAAATGGTGGCACTTTAGAGCCATGGCCATAGGATACAATTCCTACTTAATGAGGTGAACTTGGAATTACACTTAGTGTACAAAACATTAAGGACACCTGCTCTTTCCGTGACAGACTGACCAGCTATGATTCCTTATTGATGTCACTTGTTAAATCCACTTCAGTGTAGATGAAGGGAAGGAGAACGGTTAAAGAAGGATTTTTAAGCCTTAAGACGTGGATTGTGTGTGTGTGCCATTCAGAGGGTGAATGGGCAAGACAAAAGATTTAAGTGCCTTTTGAACGGGGCATGGTAGTAGGTGCCAGGCGCACCGGTTTGTGTCAAGAACTGCAATGCTGCTGGGTTTTTCACACTCAACAGTGTGTATCAATAATGGTCCACCACCCAAAGGACATCCAGCCAACTTGACACAACTGTGGGAAGCATTGTAGTCAACATGGGCCAGCATCCCTGTGGAATGCTTTCGAAGCCTTACTTTATTGTCCCCATGGGGAAATGTTGTTGCAGTATCATGTACACGTTTAAATACAGTAGAAAACAAATTGACAATACAACATAAGTTACATACCAATAAAGAGACTTGCTGGCCTTACTGGGTCGATAGGAACATTAGCTGTTTGAGGGATATCACACCTGTCACAAATGATTGTCTAGTTCTGTTTTTCCTGCCGGGGGGTGCCCTATACCTGCACCCGGAGGGGAGTAGTTCCAAGTCCGGGTACAGGGGGTGGCTTGGGTCTAAAATGATTATGTGAGCCTTGCTGAGGGCCCTGACCTTAAAGATCTCATCCAAGCCTGTCTGTTTGACTCCAAGTACCTTGCTTGCTGTGGTGATAATCCTTCTGAGCATGTTTTTCTGGCTGACAGTGGCATTGCCAAACCAACAAACAGTACAAAAAGTTAAAATATTCTCAATTAAAGATTTGTAAAACAGAGTCAGTATAGTACAGTCAACATTTTGTAGATCGGGTCTATACATTTACTCCACTGAAGCTCATTGTCCAAGAGGACTCCCAGATATTTGTATTCCTCTACAATCTCGATGTTCTGACCTCTGATAGATGTTGCAGAGGTAGATGTTGTTCGCTTCCTGAAGTCTATGCGCGTCTCTTCAGTCTTGTTGGTATTGAGGACCAAGTGTGATTCATCACACCACTCTACAAAGTCATTTAGGACCGGGCCATGGTGTTCCTCGTCATCATGCAACAGGCTGATCAAGGAAGTGTCATCAGCAAACTTAACTAAGTGTCTGTCAGAATGGGAACTAGTACAACTATTAGTGTACAAGATGTACAGGAGTGGGTACAAAACACATCCCTGTGGGGAGCCTATGTTAGTGGTGCGTATGTCTGACACGTGGGGACCCACCTTGACCCGCTGTGACCTCTGGCTCAGGAAGTCCAACAGCCACAAAACCAGCCAGGAGTTGATGCCCCAACGAGTTGAGGCTGTTCTGAGGGCAAAGGGGGAGGGGGGGTGGTGTTCTTAATGTTTTATACACTCTGTGTATATTGTATCATTATGGCCGGCACTCTGTTCAGATGTGCTAAGTACTCTCGGCCCGGCAAATACAACCGGTGTTCATGATGCTTTTTGCTTCATCATGATAATGTAGCAAGTGATACTTTGCTTCTTGAAAGACGTTTACGTGACGCCAAGAATGCATTGTATATTGTCAACAAACATGGCGCCACACATAGCTGGCAAATAGCTTAGCATTAGCTCATTATAATCAGTACAACCTTCAAAAAAAGTATTTTACACACATCAGGTGTCCATTACAATCCATGCAATAATCTGAATTTGTCACCAGTACTTGAAAAAGTGAATAAAACTGTAAATACATTATGCTCCATACATATGATACAGTAGAAACATGATATACAGAAAATTAGGCACTTACTTTGATAGGAACGCACACATGTCCAAAGTTATTATTTGTAAGGGAAACAACAATGCGAGCGCCAGCCAGAAAATGTTCCAGTTCGTGCAAGACTGAGCAAATGTCTGCATACTTGATGTGCGGAAAAAATGGGGAATGGCTCTCCTCGAAGAGGGAAGTCCAGCTCAGTAAAGCCTCAAACATAAGTTGTCCGCAACACTGAAATGGGCTACTTCTATGTGAATTAATGAGGCGGAACACACCTCAATTCAAACTGTTCGAAAACTTGTTAGAAAATAATTTGAAATTGATAAGTTGAAACAGCCTATAGATAATTAGCAGGCAGCGCGTGTTAACTGTCCTGTTGCGTAACAATCACATTTTGGAACAGTGAGTGCATTCTGACATCACGTGCATAAAACAACTCGCGCTGGGGCGACTGTTAAAGATATTTGGAACTCACGTGTGAAAAGGTTAAACCCACCAAGCAGTGAACTAGTAGAACCACTTTAGGTCAGTGTTGTGAGTCTGTTAGCCTCGCTCACCTCCTGACCTACACACTCACCTTTCCTCACGTGAGGTGGAGCTAACGAGCTCTGCTAAATCTAAATCTGCACCTCCTTCTCCAGCTTTGTGTGTAGTGCGGATTCATCTGGATTAGACCTGCTGCCTGCCAGCCAGCTTTAACCCACATGGCCTTATGGTCCCAGGGAAAGTGGAGACAGACCTTGTGTACTATAACATGGCTCTTATTAATGAAAGTTTCAGTTAGGTAACCACGACGTCATTGCGCATCCAGAGTGTAATCCGTGTCCACTTGACAGCTAGCATTAGTGAGAGTGAAAGCACTGCCACAACTGTCTGTTAAAGACACCTTGAATATGTCATATGTTCTGTATATGTTATGTGATATGCACATGATAAGCTCAAACACAGAAGTCCTATGATTAGAATGGGCTGTCCTGAGCTGTGTTTGACTGGAGCTCTGCGTGTTCTCTGACAGGGTAACTCTTGCCTTCACCGGTGTGGGTCTTCTTGTCGTTCTCACCTCCATCATCGGGTTTCTTCCAAATGGGAGGTAAGAATTTCTCATCATTGTAACACTTTCCTTATACCTGAGTAGTAACATAGTAATTACGGTAGTAACAACATTGTAGGTATTGAGACTCAGACCCTGTTTTCTGTGTTCTTCCTGAAGGATGAAGAACTTCCTCAGTGAGCAGGTGCATCTGATGTGTTACCGGATCTGTGTCAGAGCGCTCACTGCCATCATCACCTACCACGACAGGTAAGCAACAGCACTAGACACACACATTATTATTGCAAAACACATAGAAAGCATGTTGATGCCATTATGAGAATGGTATGCACTATATACCACTGTTGACAGATGAACACTGCTGGACTGTGTACTAGAGCAGACCTCAATGAATCCATTTAAATTCTAGAGCAGTGAGGTAGTGTACGTGGTGGTTATGTAATAATAAAAGTAGTAATAAATACACAATGAGTAACGGCTATATACACACAGGGTACCAGTACCAAGTCGATGTGCAGGGGTACGAAGTAATTGAGGTAGATATTCCTAGTTACATATAACTAGGAATAAAGTGACAGATAATAAACCGTAGCAGCAGCGTATGTGATGAAATAGAGTTAGTGCAAAAAGGGTCAATGCAGGTAGTCCGGGTAGCTATTTGGTTAACTATTTAACTAACAATTTCGCGGTTTTATGGCTTGGGGGTAGAAGCTGTTCAGGGTCCTATTGGTTCCAGACTTGGTGCATCGGTACCACTTGCTGTGCGGTAGCAGAGAGGTCTATGACTTGGGTGGCTGGAGTCTTTGACAATTTTTAGGGCCTTCTTCTGACACTGCCTGATATAGAGGTCCTGGATGGCAGGGAGCTTGGCCCTGGATGGCAGGGAGCTTGGCCCTAGTGATTTACTGGGCTGTACGCACTACCCTTCAAGCAGTTGCCATACCAAGCGGTGATGCAGCCAGTCAAGATGCTCTCTGGTACAGCTGTATAACTTTTTGAGGATCTAAGGGCCCATGCCAAACCTTTTCAGCCTCCACGACTGTGTTTGTGTGTGTGTCTGGACCATGATAGATCCTTAGTGATGTAGACGTGGTCCTCTGTAGCTCAGCTGGTAGAGCACGGCACTTGTAACGCCAAGGCAGTGGGTTCGATCCCCGGGACCAGCCATAAACACAAAAAATAAATGTATGCACGCATGACTGTAAGTCGCTTTGGATAAAAGCGTCTGCTAAATGGCATATTATATTGTAGACACCGAGGAACTTGAAGCTCTCGACTCGTCCACTATAACCCCTGTCAATGTGAATGAGTGTGTGCTCGGCCCTCCAGTAGCTGTAGTCCACGATCAGCTCCTTTGTCTTGCTGACGTTGAGGGAGAGGTCGTTGTTCTGGCAGCACACTGCCAGATCTCTGACCTCCTCCCTATAGGCTGTCTCATTGTCGTCGGTGATCAGGCCTGTGTTGTCGGTGAAGTTAATGATGGTGTTGGAGTCGTGCGCGGCCACGCAGTCGTGGGTGAACAGGGAGTGCAGGAGGGGAGTAGGCACATACCCCTGAGGGTCCAGCGTGGGAGATGCGTTGTTGCCTACCCTGACCACCACGGGGCGGCATGTCAGGAAGTCCAGGATCCAGTTGCAGAGGGAGCTGTTTAGTCCAAGGGTCCTTAGCTTAGTGATGAGCATGGAGGGCACTATGGTGTTGAATGCTGAGCTGTAGTCAATGAACAGTGTTCTCACATAGGTGGCAAAGGGCAGTATGGGATTGCGTCATCTGGGGATTTGTTGGGGTGGTAATTGAATTGGAGTGGGTCCAGGGTGGCTGGGATGTTGATGTGAGCCATGACCAGCCTTTCAAAGCATTTCATGGCTACAGATGTGAGTGCTATGGGGCGATAGTCATTTAGACAGGTTATCTTGGCGTTCTTGGGCACAGGGACTATGGTTGTCTGCTTGAAACATGTAGGTATTATAGACTAGGTCAGGGAGAGGTTGAAAATGTAATTGAAGACACTTGCCAAGCTGGTCAGCGCATGCTCTGAGTAGGCATCCTGGTAATCTGTCTGGCCTTGCAGCCTTGTGAATGTTAACCCGTTGAAAGGTCTTACTCACATCGGCTACGGAGAGCGTGATCACACAGTCGTGCTCTCATGCATGGTTCAGTGTTGCTTGCCTCGAAGCGAGAATAGAAGACATTTAGCTCTTCTGGTAGGCTTGCGTCACTGGGCAGTTTGCGGCTGGGTTTCCTTTTGTAATCTGTGATAGTTTGCAAATCAGAGCCAGTGTAGTAGAATTCGATCGTAGTCCTGTATTAATGCTTTCCCTGTTTGGTGGTTCCAACAAGGCCATCACATTCCATCTAGGTCTGGGGTAGAGTACCCTGAGAAGAACCCAGCACAAACTGCTGCCCCGGACTTTACGAGGCTAGGTGTCACTAAAGGCACTAGCGGCATAGAAACATCATCAGCAAACCCATCATCGTTCAAGCATTAAAACCCCCCTAGAGTCGATGTCCGTGCCCCGTGGAAATCGAATTAGCATAATTAAATAAATCCCCATAAAAATCTGTCAATTTAAGCGAGATATATCTTTTTTGCATTGGATGCGTCTCAATCCACCATTTCCGCCGATGTCTCACTTCCGCAGTGAAAGGTGACAGAGAGAGTGGTGTTTGTCAGTCCATGAGACATCCCGAAAATTGGTCTTCTCACAAAATCGTATGTAGCGTCCGAACAGTTTGGCCTACAAACTATTGAGACTTTCACGAACACGATGGTGTTCTCCGTTTTGCTCTACGACCCCCACAAGAGTCTTGGGACTCGTCTGAAGTCGGTACAGCGAATCTGCCAACTTCTGTCTGTAGCGTCTGAACAGTTTGGGCTACACACATTTGACCCCTCTGTGGAAAGGGGAGACTAACGAACACGTACAAATCGGTTGTTATGCTCTAGGCCTCACAAGTTGAAAAAATGAATGAAAGTACAGTGCATTCGGAAAGTATTTTGTTATGGTAGTCTTATTCTAAAATGGATTAAATTGTTTTTTTCCCCCCTTGTCAATCTACACACAATACCCCATAATAACAAATTAGACATTTTTGCAAAAAAATAACTGATTTTACATAAGTATTAAGACCCTTTACTTAGTACTTTGTTGAAGCACCTTTGGCAGCGATTACAGCCTTGAGCACATCTGTATTTGGGGAGTTTATCCCATTCTTCTCTGCAGATCCTCTCAAGCTCTGTCAGGTTGGATGGGCAGCGTCGCGGCACAGCTATTTTCAGGTCTCTCCAGAGATGTTCGATCGGGTTCATGTCCGGGCTCTGTCTGGGCCACTCAAGGACGTCTCGAAGCCACTCCTGCGTTGTCTTGGCTGTGTGATTAGGGTCGTTGTCCTGTTGGAAGGTGAACCTTTGCCCCAGTCTGAGGTCCTGAGTGCTCTGGAGCAGGTTTTCATCAAGGATCTCTCTGTACTTTTCTCCGTTCATCTTTCCCTCGATCCTGACTAGTCCACCAGTCCCTGCCGCCACCATGCTTCACTATAGGGATGGTGCCAGGTTTCCTCCAGACGTGACGCTTGGCATTCAAGCCAAAGAGTTCAATCTTGGTTTCATCAGACCAGAGAATCTTGTTTCTCATGGTCTGAGAGTCCTGTAGGTGCCTTTTGGCACACTCCAAGCGGGCTGTCATGTGCCTTTTACTGAGGAGTGGCTTCCGTCTGGCCACTTTACCATAAAGGCCTGATAAGTGGAGTGCTGCAGAGATGGTTGTCCTTCTGGAAGGTTCTCCCATCTCCACAGAGGAACTCTGGAGCTCTGTCAGAGTGACCATCGGATTCTTGGTCACCTCCCTGACCAAGGCCCTTCTCCCCCGATTGCTCAGTTTGGCCGGGCGACCAGCTCTAGGAAGAGTCTTGGTGGTTCCAAACTTCTTCCATTTAAGAATGATGGAGGCCACTGTGTTCTTGGACTTTTAATGCTGAAAATATGTTTTTGTACCCTTCCCCAGATCTGTGCCTCGACACAATCCTGTCTCGGAGCTCTACGGACAATTCCTTTGACCTCATGGCTTGGTTTTTTCTCTGACATGCACTGTCAACTGTCGGACCTTATATAGACAGGTGTGTGCCTTTCCAAATCATGTCCAATCAATTGAATTTACCGAAGGTGGACTCCATTCAAGATGTAGAAACATCTCAAGGATGATCAATGGAAACAGGATGCACCTGAGCTCAATTTCGAGTCTCATAGCAAAGGGACTAATACTTATGTAAATAAGGTATTTCATTTTATTTTATTTTTTGTCAATTTGCAAAAAAAATAAATAAACTGTTTTCACTTTGTCATTGTGTGTAGATTGAGGGGAAAACATATTTAATCAATTTTAGAATAAGGCTGTAATGAAACAAAATGTGGAAAAAGGTGTCTGAAAATATATATATACTTTTCTTCTTCTGCTCTTTCTTATATCTTTCAGATATACTTCAGAACAAACTTCCTTTTAGATTTCTGTTGTTCCATGTTGTAAATCTGTTATTCACTGCGTTTGTATGGGCTAATAGCAGTAAGGCCAAAAATACATTTTAGTCATTTAGCAGACGCTCTTATCCAGAGCGACTTAGCGAGTGCATACATTTTCATCAAGTACTTTTTTAAAATATATGTTTTGATACTTCAAGGGGTCTTAAAATTCAAAATCAAATAGCTAAATGATCCTTGGTATTACCTTCTTAAAACAATTCCATATAACTTAGTAGAGCACCCCCCAGCTCAGACAGGGCTAAGACTCTTATGGGTTTAACACCCACAGTGTTATAGCCTGTGCTCTGGGGGAACTGTTTGTCAAGTGGACATTCCCTTTGACATGATGCAGGCAGTTTGCCGACAGTTCAAATGTCCTCAGATGATTTGATTTGATGCTCAGTTTTTATGGTGTGAGGCAATGCTAGACAGTGCCCAAAGCCCTGGCTTGACGTGTTGATTTTAATACGTGCTGGAGAGCACCACTGTCTACAAAACCACAAGTCACATTTTTGTTTGACAAAGCCCTTACTAGCCAACGCTGATTCAAATGAGTCAAGTTAAAGAAGAAAATGGGGGGAAATGCTGCAAAAGAGAGATGTCTCAAGCAGATTAATAAATAGTCCTTCTCATCCCCAACTCTAGGTCAGATGGGGAACTTGTCAAATGAACGTGTCAATATAGCCTACCCTTTGTTTTGCAGTATAAAAATGAAATAACATGAGCTGTCAGGGAGTGTATTTAAACAATATGCCTACTCATTCAAATAAATAATTACGTCCAAGACCACGAGGGTTAGATTAATCTCTGTCCATGAAATTGGCCCTAAGTGCAAATGTTTTGAAAGATAAATACATAGGTATGAAAATAACTGATCATAACAACATGTTTCTAACAGGCCAAACTGTCTAGGAATGTGGTGAATTCAGTATGGGTTATGTCCCCTGAGGGAATCTACATATAGCGCTGGGCCTGTTACAGCATGTTCCTCTGCCTAGTCTGGGTCGGGCAAAATAATACTGAAGTGGTGTAAGAGGGGCTCTCTTTTGGTAACACGACAACATGTTCAGCAACATTTATCTCCTGAATGTAGGCTCCTACTCCAGTCCAACATGCTCAGGGGGTCAGGCTTTGAATGCTAACATCATTAGCCTCCAACCACATTCATGTTAATTAGGAAGGGGTGTGGGAAAGGGAGCATGGCTTCTCCCTAACACCCATTTTCCATCATCACTGGGTTGTTAGGATCTAGCTTACACTGGAATGGTAGTTTCCTGAAAATCACTTGTTTACTGATAGTCATCCTGCTCTCTCTCTCTCCATCCTCCCAGTGAAAACAAGCCCAAGAATGGAGGGATCTGTGTGGCCAACCACACCTCACCCATCGACGTCATCATCCTGGCCAGTGATGGCTGCTATGCAATGGTAAGGCCCAAGACCCATGATGAACAGCACAGCAGTCAGACATAAGGCTACCTACCACAGCACTGAATGACTGCTGTCAATCATTGAGTTAGTGTCAAATTTAGAACGTTACTGGTTTTCTACTACCATTAAAAAATATATTTTAGAAGCAAGCATGCACATTTTCTTACAGAGAATTTACCAAAGAATATATAATTAAAATTGTATTTTAGAGAGGCATGTGTGTGAGATTGTTGACCTGTATCATCAGATGTTTGTTAAACCACACCTGTGTGTGTGTGTGTGTGTGTGTGTGTGTGTGTGTTCCAGGTTGGGCAAATCCATGGTGGTTTGATGGGTGTGATCCAGAAGTCTATGGTGAAAGCCTGCCCACACATTTGGTTTGAACGCTCTGAAGTCAAAGATCGACATCTAGTGGCCAAAAGGTAGTAATGCACATCAGCACTTATACTGCTTTTTAGTTTGAAGTCACTCCGCTGTAGTCTGGCAGGTACCAAACTCAAAGTCCTCCTGACCAGAGTTTCGGAAGCTGCTTGATGTTGTCAGCACGATGCGTCAATAATAAAGGGGGCTGTGCATTTACTGGTTGGTTCTCCTCTGTCTTTCCCACTCAAAAAACTAAGTCTCAATCCCCTAGTGTAAAAAAAAAAAAACGTTTGAGAGAATCAATCAAAGCTCGCTCTATTTCTAAGCAAATATATATACAAACATTTTTAAAATCCTGTGCAGCCCTGTGGGGCACAGCTCTCCCTCGCTGTGTACCACGTTAGTCATGTCAGCCAGGCTAACTCAGCTGTACCTTTTCATATGTTATTTCTCTAAAATGTTGTGCACAAATCTGTTTACATCCCTGTTAGTGAGCATTTATTATTTGCCAATATATACCACACCTGTCAGGTAGATGGATAATCAAGAAGCTGACAAAACAGCATGATCATTGCACAGGTAGGGACAATAAAAGGCCACTCTAAAATGTGCAGTTTTGTCACACAACACAATGCCACATATCTCAAGTTTTGAGGGAGCGTGCAATTGGCATGCTGACTGCAGTAATGTCCACCAGAGCTGTTGCCAGAGAATTAAAAGCTAATTTCTCTACCATAAGCCGCCCTCAACGTCGTTTAAGATAATTTGGCAGTACGTCCAACCGGCCTCACAACCAGACCATGTATAACCACGCCAGTCCAGGACCTCCACATTTAGCTTCTTCACCTGCGGGTTCGTCTGAGACCAGCCACCCGGACAGCTGATGAAACTGAGGAGTATTTATGTCTGTAATTAAAGCCCTTTTGTGGGGAAAAACTCATTCTGATTGGCTGGGCCTGGCTCCCAGACATGTGAAATCCATAGATTAGGGCCTAGTGAATGTATTTCAATTGACTGATTTCCTTATATCAGGGGTGTCAAACGTCCGGCCCGCGGGCCGGATCAGGCCCGCAAACGGGTTTAATCCGGCCCGCGAGATGATTAAAAAAATAAATAAATAAATAAAATAAAAATTTATAATAATTTTGTAAAGTATAAAAATGCGCTGCAATTTTTCAATAAAATAAACTGCTGTTCCAATTGCGTCCACTGGATGGCGCAATAGCAATTGTGTTAAGCAAGCAAACTGTTTATACCGGGGCAGAGCAAGTAGGTCAAGCACGTGCAGCCAATGAGCTACTTTGTTTTGCCCGCAATATTTATTACAGCTTCTACTTTTAACATTATGTGCTTTGGCACCCTCATTGCCCCAATATGTCTCAGTCAAAAAAGAGAAAAGTGGACGCAGAGTGCAGAGTGTTCCAAGAAAAATGGTCATCCTATTTTTTCACGGAATTGAATGGGAAAGCTGTATGTTTGGTGTGTTCAGAGCATGTTGCAGTGCTGAAAGAATATAACCTTCGTCGCCACTATGTGAGTCTTCATGCCAACAAATATGACAACTTTCAAGGACAGCGGAGATGAGAGAAGGTGAATGAACTGTTGGCGGGTCTGAAGAAACAGCAGTCTGTGTTTACTCACAGCCGAGACATCAGTGACGCTGCAGTGAAAGCTAGCTACCTCATTGCTAATGAAATCGCAGTGGCTTCAAAACCATTTAGTGAGGGTGAATTTGTAAAAACATGCCTGATGAAGGCAGCGGAGATTGTGTGCCCTGAAAAGCGGCAGGCTTTTGCAAATATCAGCCTGACAAGAAACACAGTTGCAGACAGGATTTCCGATCTTTCAGTGGATTTGGACAGCCAGTTGAAGCAAAAAGTAAAGTCATTTATTGCGTTTTCGGTTGCAATTGATGAAAGCAAGGACATTACAGATGTTGCACAACTGGCCATTTTCATCCGCGGAGTTGATGACACATTGACCGTCACCGAGGAGTTCGTGGAGTTGGTGCCGATGACAGATACAACGACAGCAGCTGATATTTTTACCAGCACTCGTCGGCGCGCTGGACAGGGTCGGAGTGGACTGGTCCCGCGCTGTCAGCCTGGCTACAGATGGTGCGCCCTCAATGATCGGGAAAAAAGCAGGCGTTGTGACAAAGTTCAGAGAGAAAGTGCAATCTGCAAATGGAGGACGTGATTTTTTGACTTTTCACTGTATTTTGCACCAGGAGGCTTTGTGTTGCAAGTCATTAAAGATGGATAACGTCATGAAGGTGGTCATCCAAACTGTTAATTTAATCCGATCCAGAAGCCTGAATCACCGTCAGTTTGACAGCCTTCTCAGAGAGAAAGACCACATCTATGGCCTGCCATACCACACTGAGGTAAGATGGTTAAGCCGAGGTGCTGTGCTGAGGCGTTTCTTTGATTTACGAGAAGAAATTGAACAGTTCATGGAAGAAAAGGGCAAACCAGTGTTAGAATTTCATTCCGCAGAATGGATGCAGGACCTTGCATTTATGGTGGATGTTACAGAGCACCTGAATAACTTGAACAAACAGCTGCAAGGGCGCAACAAAGTTGTCACGCAGTATTATGACAGCATACGTTCTTTCAAGTTGAAGCTGTCATTGTGGGAGACGCAACTTGCCGGTGGTGATGCAGCTCACTTCCCCTGTCTGAAAAATGTGTGCGCGACCCAACATGTGGCAGACATGAAGCGGTTCAAAGATAAAATAACGGGACTGTTACGGGAGTTTGAGCAACGCTTTCAGATTTATGTTTTTATGTTGATGTGCTATTGTTTTTAATTATTTTATTTGTATATTTAACCTATTCTTGACTCTGTGGTTCTTGCACTTGTTTGGGGAACAGGATTTCATTATTTTTATCTACATTTCTGCCTGAGAAATGACACCCTGATATAGTGTTGTGTGTGTGTGTTCTTTTCCTAGAATTTCAAATAAACTTGACGTGTTTTATGATTAATAGTGATGTGTGTTTTCTTTTGGACACTGTCCTCAGGCTCCAGCTTTATGTTGTATGTTTGATCGTATTAGCATTGTTTTTTAATTGATTTTATATTTATTGTATATTTAACTATTCTGATTGTTTTCCGTTCGGCCATTTCAATATTTTTCTCATTTCCCTGAGAAATGACACCCTGATATAGTTCTGTGATCTGTGAAACAGTTCTGTTAATCACTGAGGCATTGTGTGTTTGTGTGTTCTTTTTCTTTAGAATTTTCAAATAAACTTGACGTGTTTTATGATTAATAGTGATGTTGTGCTTGTACTATTTTGGACACACTGTCCTCAGGCTCCAGCTTTATGTTGTATGTTGATCGTATTAAAACAAAGAAACAATCTGAAGTTGTTGTTTTTATATATAATATATAATATACCATGATTTTTCCGGTCCGGCCCACTTGGGAATAGATTTTCCTCCATGTGGCCCCTGAGCTAAAATGAGTTTGACACCCCTGCCTTATATGAACTGTAACTCAGTAAAATCGTTAATTGTTGAATGTTGCGTTTTATATTTTTGTTCAGTATAAATGGATAATTGACAAAAATCCATTGAAGGTTTACTGTGACCAACATGTTTTGATTTAACACAAGACTATTTGGGGTTTGTGTATTGGTAAAGACTAGTCACGCTGTATTTAATCAATATACTGTAAACTAGAGCTGGGACGATAAATAAACAATTATCGACACCGAGCAAACCGACCACTTATCAAAGACATTTTACTGATAATGTTAAGTAGCCTATACTAGAGAAATGTGAAGTTTGAAATAAGTGCTAATTTGGGCAATTGCTTACGGGACTATTGATATCTACAACATTCAAAGTAGTAGTAGCATTTACAAGTATACAAAAGTAACTGGTGCACATTAATGTTAGACTTATTGTTCTATTTATTTATCATGAGAATTAAGTCACTTTATTGTGATATAGATTTTTGTCCATATAGCCCAGTTCTACTGTACACTTACAAAATCTCTTGTTGCAGATTGAGTGATCATGTAGAAGACAAAACTAAACTTCCTATTCTCATTTTCCCCGAAGGTGAGTCGTTTTTGGTTTTGTGTTTCCTTAGTTACTGCTTTGAACACAACTACAGTAGTGTTGATTTCTGCATTTCTACTGTGGAAATGTGATTATAAGTTACCCTTTTAATATAATTTCCTTTCCCCATTTGTAAACACTGACTTTTCCCCATAGGCACCTGCATCAACAACACTTCAGTAATGATGTTTAAAAAGGGCAGCTTTGAGATTGGCTCCACAGTCTACCCTGTGGCCATCAAGGTGAGTGTGTGTGTGTGTGTGTTGCGAGTGCTTGCTTGAGTGTGGTGTTTTTACCGGTCCCACAGTATTAATCAGATGTCCCCGTCCCTCCGGCCCCAACAGTACGACCCCCGCTTTGGAGATGCCTTCTGGAACAGCAGCCAGTTTGGGATGGTCAACTACCTGCTGAGGATGATGAGCAGCTGGGCCATTGTGTGCAGTGTGTGGTACCTGCCACCCATGAGCAGAGAGGTTAGTCTGGGCAAAACCTCACCGTTTTCTTTTAAAATCCATCTTCTCTGAAATATCACTAAAAGGCTTGAGGATTGCTGTGACATTGATTCAACACCCTAAAGCTCAGTGGCATTTTTGACTGGCCATTGTGCATTGTTTAATGATGGCAGGCACATGATATTTGATTAGCATACTCTAGCCCCAGGAAAATGTATACTGTCAATATTTAAGAGGGTGTAGTCATGCTAACCTCCCTCAAGTTAGCTGTTTCATCTATCATTTCAATACACCAGTGGGCCATATTGAATGGATGCATATGATGCACCCCTTCCTTTGACCTCAGCCTGGCATGATTTACCTAGGATATCCTCAAGCCACCCAGAGTTTGCATTTGGTGATGCAAATAAATCCTGCTTTGAATGGGTTTTCAAATCCGCATTCACCTCCATGAACATTTTAAGGTTGAGATGGCCTCTCAGCTTCCACCCCTGATTTAAGGAAATGTGATTCAAATCAGTCTTTTGAGAGGCTAGCATGGCTGCCTCCTTTAGACGTGGCTTATGCACTTGTTGGTTTGTCTCATGTTAGGTTGCACAACCAGAGCTTGACAAAGCAATTTGTACCAGGATTGTGGATGAGCACTCAGTGTGTGACTTGGTATAATGTTTTTAGTATTTTGAGCCGGGTGTGGATGTGAACTTGGTCAGACCTCGCTCATGAATAACAGGAAAGGGTCGAGTACTACCACCCACTCCTAAAACAACATGTTCAGAGGCAGGGGTTGGCCAGCTTTGGGGCTCTGGCCATTGACCGAGCGACCGTCCCATTTTGATGTAGAAAGCAGGGGGAAGGAAGGTTGGGAAATGTCTTTCACTAACTGTCAGAGTTGAAGGAACTTGGGCTGGGATCCATCTGGTCCTCAGAGGTGTCCTGCCTTTTGAATACATTTTCCACTTGCTGCTTGAAGGGAAACTAGTACTTGGAGCAGGCTTTTGGAGCAGCCATCTCCTCCAGTCTTTGTAACCTGGAGATCATAGTCACACAGCATCACACAGAATCAGAACACTATATTTAGAGATTATTCTCTGTCCTCTTGATGCATGGCCCATGAAGTGCAATGTGCTTGATTTAATATCCCAGTTTGTCAAAATGTACTTGATACTACGCTACAATATGCCAATTTTGCATATTAGTGGCTGTAGCTATTAAATAGGATAGGTCCTTCATACAATATGTGCACTGAGACCCTTTCCAGGACATGTCTGATGCTCAGGTGGCCCAGTCTCCTTTGTGTGTCAACCAGGTCTTCATCTTTGTCTTCCTTTCTGAACAGGAAGGAGAGGATGCAGTCCAGTTTGCCAGTCGGGTCAAAGCAGCTATCGCCAGGCAAGGAGGGCTGGTGGACTTGCTATGGTGAGTAACCCATAGCAAACGTCTCAGAGAACATATGTACACATGGGTTATAGGCTTATAATATCAGGTCTGTGTCATTGTTAAACCCAGCTCAGTTTTGCTCGGCTGTATGCCCATGTGAGCATCAGAGTACTGTGTAATGGATTTGTGAATTATGATGTTGCTTTGTAGGGATGGTGGTTTAAAGCGAGGGAAGGTAAAAGATACGTTCAAAGAGGAGCAACAAAAGTTATACAGCAAAATGCTAGTGGGAACCCAAGAGGACCGCAGTCGTTCTTGAAGACAAACGCAGGGAGTTTGAGATGATCAGAGACCCACTTGCGGACAACAGAATGAACAGTCTTCTGCACCCTAACAGATTTTTTGACCTGGAATACTCCAACCCTCATGTCAGGAATACTTCACTTGGCTTCCTCGGTCAGTGCCTCAGCTTGGCATATTAAGTTGTCATTGCTGTTACAGCCCATTATGGGCCCTGTCTCTGTCCTCTGTTTCTAATGATTTGAAAATGGACTGGCCTCTACTGCACCAGCCAGCGTGTCATGATGCTGTGCACTAAGATAGTTTTCTCACCATCAGGGAAGCTAAAACACTGTCTTTTAAGTGACTAATATATTTATGTTCTTCATTGAGTTAATGTATATGGTTTGTTCTTATCCTGTCTCTTTTTTATGTTTTATTATTGTTAATACTATTATGACAGTTATTATCATAATTGTTCTTTAAGTTACAAGTGATCTGCCAGGGGACGTAGCAGTGCACATAGAGAAGTACTGGAGAGTTTGTACTGAAGGGAAAATCTGTGACCGTGTTGGGAGATGCATGGCTGGCTTGTACCCGACACGGCCGAGATGGCAAGGTGCCACATGAATGTTTCTAATACTTTTTTGTATTGTTTTTTTTTTCTCAGTGAAAGCCTTTTGTTTTAAGCATTGTATTCACATGTGTAAAATATAGGAGTTATGTTAAAGTGGAGCTTGGGTTTTGTTTTCTTTGTTTCTCTTGTCTCCATGAAATGTGGAAGACTGTTCACATTATGATGTGGAGAATATACATTTTGTGACTGATGGGGTTGTTGAAATGTAGTAGATACTCCACCGTCGTCCCATCTAAACTAGCCTACATAATCTAAACACTTTCTTCTGCCTCCCGTCCTTACCTACCGTGTAGCTAATTTCTGAGCTGTGTAATGACTGAGGCCTCTGCCACCGACACCTCACGATAGCTGTGGTTTAAGCAGCATTGTGTGCTTTTAATTAGTTTACTTACAAATGTTTTGTTATAATATGGTTATAACGTCATATACTGGGCCACGGATGTGAAAAATATGCCTTGTTCCCTAGCTGCTAAATCTATTAATACTTCCATGAAGGCATCTCATCTGTGGGAATCCTCTTGCCAAATTCACTCCAGAAAATGACCTCTGTTAGCTGTCATGTTTTTTTTTAGCAACTATCTTCCCATAGCTTGGCAGCTTCTTCGAGTGGGCCTTAAGGAGAGGGAGTGCAGCTGCAGAGTTAGACTTATGCCCTGATAGGCTGCAGTGCAAGCCTAGTGGAAATCCCTGGCCCTCGCCTTCCTCAAACTCCTGTTTGGTTCTTTCATCCCAGTACTGTTCTAGGGGTATAAACGTTCTGATCAAATGTGTCCAATGTTGACCAATAAAAATCCCCAAGTTTAATTGATGTAAAATGAGCTACTGAGAGCACTGTCGATGCGAGCATATGCCATTCTCTTTTGTTCTCATTAGTGTACAAGAAAATACACTTGGCTAGGCTTGTTGAAAAGAGTGGCCTTTGACCTCAGGAACCCCTAAGAAGAAGGATTCCATCAGAATTCAAAGCATGAAGCAGGCATTCAGGTAAGGAAGGTTGCCAGCAGTGGGCCTGCTGGCTGGCTGTGGGTGTGTTGACTACATTTTACCCTGTATCAGGTTCCTTTCAATATTTTGTTGGCTGCCTGACTGCTATTGTTTGGCGTGTTATTGATGCTTCACAGTAGCCATTGAAGTATTCCTGTTTCTGAATGTCATCCAAAAAACTAAGTGTTGCTATAATAATGGTTAATGGGGTTGAATAAATAATTTCTATGTGGGGATCATTTCAAGTTCCTATAAGGGATACATTAACCAACTATTAACACTAAAATAATAAATAGTTTAAGACTGCGGTGGTCCAGGGTGGTTTTTTTATTTTAAAAAGTGGTGAATATATGACTATCGCTAGCAACAACAGAATACAATTTTTTTATTAAATACCTACAGTAGAAAAGAGGAGAATAAAACTGCTGGTAAACTTTCTTGACATGGACATACAGTACCAGTAAAAAAGTTGGACACCTACTCATTCAAGGGTTTTTCTTTATTTTTACTATTTTCTACATTGTAGAATAATAGTGAAGACAAAACTATGAAATCATGTAGTAACCCAAAAAATGGTTAAACAAATCAAAATATATTTTGTGTAATTTCTTTCCTTAATGTGTTTGAGCCAATCAGTTGTTGTGACAAGGTAGGGTTGGCATACAGAAGATAGCCCTATTTGATCAAGTACCAAGTCCATATTATGGCAAGAACAGCTCAGATAAGCAAAGAGAAACGAGTCCATCATTACTTTAAGACATGAAGGTCAGTCAATACGGAACATTTAAAGAACTTTGAACATTTCTTCAAGTGCAGTTGCAAAAACCATCAAGCGCTATGATGAAACTGGCTCTCATTAGGACCCAGAGTTACCTCTGCTGCAGAGGATAAGTTACCAGCCTCAGAAATTGCAGCCCAAATAAATGCTTCACAGAGTTCAAGTAACAGACACATCTCAACATCAACTGTTCAGAGGAGACTGCGTGAATCAGGCCTTCATGGTCGAATTGCTGCAACAAAACCATTACTAAAGGACACCAATAATAAGAGACTTGCTTGGGTCAAGAAACATGATTCCATATGTGTATTTCATAGTTTTGTCTTCACTATTATTCTACGATGTAGAAAATAGTAAATATAAAGAAAGTAGTGTCCAAACTTTTGATGGGTACTACATTTTTGCCAACTCATGACTAAACTTTGTTTAAACAACTGCTCTTAGTGAAAATGTGTTTGGAGTTACCTTTCTAGCTCAAAGAGTACCGGTACCGAGTCAATGTGCAGGGGTACGTAGAAGCTGTTCAGGATCCTTTTGGTCCCAGACTTGGTGCTCCGGTACCGCTTGCCGTGCGGTAGCAGAGAGAACAAGATGCTCTCAATAACTTTTTGAGGATCGGAGGGCCCATGCCAAATCTTTTTGGCCTCCTGAGGGGGAAGAGGCGTTGTCGTGCCCTCTTCACGGTTGAGTTGGTATGTTTGGACCATGATAGGTCCTTAGTGATGTGGACAACCAGGAACTTGAAGCTCTCGACCCGCTCCACTATAGCCCTGTTGATGTGAATGGGGGCATGCTCGGTCCTCCGTTTCCTGTAGTCGACAATCAGCTGAAGCATTCGATACCGCAATAGAAATGTAAACGTAATTTCCGATTGAGACGAGATATGCAGCATTTACCATCTCTGCTAAAGCAGGAACATTGCCTTTTCAATTTCAATCATGATGTAAAGCTTAACTTCCGCGGTGCGGATTGAATAGAGCCCCTAGGTGTAATAATATAATTACATATACGATACCTACACTGAACAAAAATATGAACACAACATGCAACAATTTCAAAGATTTTACTGTGTTACAGTTCATATAAGGAAATCAGTCAATTCAAATAATGCATTAGGCCCTAATCTATGGATTTCACATAACTGGGAATACGGATATGCATCTGTTGGTCACAGATACCTTAAAAAAAGGTAGGGGAATGGATCAGAAAACCAGTCAGTATCTGGTGTGACCACCATTTGCCTCATGCAGCGTGACACATCTCCTTCGCATAGAGTTGATCAGGCTGTTGATTGTGGCCTGTGGAATGTTGTCCCACTCCTCTTCAATGGCTGTGTGAAGTTGCTGGATATTGGCGGGAACTGGAACACGCTGTCGTACATGTTGATCCATAGCATCCTAAACATGCTCAATGGGTGACATGTCGGGTGGGTATGCAGGCCATGGAAGAACTGGGACATTTTCAGTTTCCAGGAATTGTGAACAGATTCTTGCGACATGGGTCCGTGCATTATCATGCTGAAACATGAGGTGATGGCGGCAGATGAATGGCACGACAATGGGCCTCAGAATCTCGTCATGGTATCTCTGTGCATTCAAATTGCCATAGATAAAATGCAATTGTGTTTGTTGTCTGTAGCTTATGCTTGCCCATACCATAACCCCACCGCCACCATGGGAGATTGTTTACAACATTTACATCAGCAAACTGCTCGCCCACACAACGCCATACTTGCTGTCTGCCATCTGCCCGGTACTGTTGAAACCGTGATTTATCTGTGACGAACACACTTCTCCAGCGTGCCAGTGGCCATCGAAGGTGAGCATTTGCCCACTGAAGTCGGTTACGACGCTGCACTTAAGTCAGGTCAAGACCCTGGTGAGGACGACGAGCACGCAGGTGAGCTTCCCTGAGACGGTTTCTGACAGTTTGTGCAGAAATTCTTCGGTTGTGCAAACCCAGTTTCATCAGCTGTCCGTGTGGCTGATCCCGCGGGTGAAGAAGCCGGATGTAAAGGTCCTGGGCTGGCGTGGTTACATGTGGTTGTGAGGCCAGTTGGACGTACTGCAAAATTCTCTAAAACAATGTTGGAGGCGGCTTATGGTAGAGAAATTAAACATTCAATTCTCTAGCAATAGCTCTGGTGGACATTCCTGCAGTCAGCATGCCAATTGCACGCTCCCTCAAAACTTGAGACATCTGTGGCATTGTGTTGTGTGACAAAACTGCACATTTTAGAGTGGCCTTTTATTGTCCCCAACACAAGGTGCACCTGTGTAATGATCATGCTGTTTTAATCAGCTTCTTGCTATGCCACACCTGTCAGGTGGATGTATTCTCTTGGCAAAGGAGAAATGCTCACTAACAAATTTGTGGGCAAAATTTGAGAGAAATAAGCTTTTTGTGCATATGGAACATTTCTGGGATCTTTTATTTCAGCTCATGAAACATGGGACCAACACCTTACATGTTGCGTTCAGTGTATTAATGTTATATGTCTGTGGGCCTAGTAAAGAATTCATTCATTAACCTTTAACATGTATTACTTTTTAAATGTGGCATAAAGACAACCAGTCATGTTTTCATCTGATTGTCAATCACTCAAAAAGGTGTTCCTATAGGCTACCTGCGCACGTTAGTCCACTCACAAAATTATTCCAGCTTCAAAACGGTGCACCCGCAATTTGATTAATGACATTCTGGGCTTTTCATTAGGCCTACACTTGTAGCCCGAATTGATGCGTCCACTGATATCTGCGCGTGTCTAGGTCTTGGCCACTCATCTCCGCCTTGGCAAAATGTAAGTGTTCTCGTCGAACCACAACATAATTTGGAGTTTATATTTTACCACCTGGTTTCAAGTCAATCTGATAATTTGTCATGTGGCTGACATGCGGTAAATGTTAAGTAATGGGGTAATACCGGTACGGCGTACCCCCACTATTTATTTTGCTGGGATACCATACCGGACCGCCTTACTTTCACCCCGGTTGTCGGTGATCAGGCCTACTACCGTTGTGTCTTCGATTTAAGGTGTTCAAGTTGTGCGCAGCTACGCAGTCGTGGGTGAACAGGGAATACAGGAGGGGACTAAGCACGCACCCCTGAGGGGCCCCCGTGTTGAGGGTCAGTGTGGCAGATGTGTTGTTGCCTACCCTCACCACCCGTCAGGAAGTCCAGGATCCAGATGCAGAGAGGACCTTGAGAGGTGTTCAGTCCCAGGGTCCTTAGCTTAGTGATGAGCTTGGAGGAGACTGGTGTTGAACGCTGAGCTGTAGTCAATTAACAGCATTCTCACGTAGGTGTTCCTTTTGTCCATGTGGGAAAGGGCAGTGGAGTGCAATAGCGATATCTGTGGATTTGTTGGGGCGATTATGTGAATTAGAGTGAGTCCAACTTTTTTTCTAGCTTTCAAATAGGCACATTCTTATCTTCGCCTCTCCTGCAACTCTTCCCCTGGTCCTTAGTGTACAAGATAAATAGTGCACTGTTTTCTGTCAATATACCTGGTAAAATAATGGTTAATAAACAACTCTAAAGGGGGCCCTATAAAATCTGTGATCCCCCCCCCCCCCCCCA